CAAAAATATCGATTTTTAGATTTATACATAGTTAGATAGCCCATCATCTCTACTTTCGAATGCACTATAATTTATTGGTTTTTTCGATGGTTTTTGAGGGTTTTACAACGGTTTTTCTGAAGACCCCTGCATCAAAAAATAATCAAAGAAAAAAATTGTTTTGCGTTTTTTCTCGAAACTGTTTTTTTTCGTTTTATTTGACTGTGTGTCAAAGATTTCTCCGCCATTTTAAATGTTAGAAAGCTCGGGAAGGTTTTAAAATGAAGGTAAATATCAGCGCTACAACGTAACAAAGCCGGAATTTTTGTTTTCAACTTATTTGTTTACAAAAAACTCCAGTTTTCTAAAAAACTAATCTAGGTTTTTCGAAAAAACTGTCTAAAAAAATTTATTTATTTTTTTTCAAAAATCCGGCTTTGTTAGGTTGTAGGGGTAGGTATTCTCTACATTTTGACACTATCCCGAGGTCCGTATCATTAAAACTGGAAACAAAATCTTTGACACACGGACACCTACTTTTTGACCCTTGATGTTACAATAACTCGCGAAAAACTCAATATTATGAGCTCAAATTTATACTGAGAACTCTCAATGGTCAGATACATATTCAATAAAAATTTCAGTAAGATTGAGTGTTCTGGGGAAAAAAAAATTTAGAGGGGGGGGTGGGCCTTAACTGTAAATTCACGTCCACCCACATACGGTTCTCACAATTTCAATGCTTCCAAAATTGCAAAACATTCACGTTCAGTGGTACTCCATTTACGTTGTTGTCTGTTGATCGTTTTGAACATGTATGCAATTGGACGATCATTACCATCATATTTTTGTGTCAATACTCCGCCAATGCCAATATAATAGATAGAATAGATAGAAATCCACACCATCGAGCCACTTTTAAGCAAAAGCAGATGATTATTGTGCTATGTAAAAGCAGGCATCATCTACTTTATTTTAATATTAAAAACTCTTTATGTTCCTTCGAAAAGGTTTTGTAGTACATAATTCATTAAAACAGAGTTCCAAAATATCCGAATTTCACTCAAACATTTTGTCAAGTGTTAACAAGACTTTTCAATCATATAAAATAAAACTTGGAACGTTTCTCTATCAAGCAAAAAAGCAAGCTTGAAGTTTGGTCAAGGAATGATGAAGTTATTAAAACTCTTCTCTCCTTGACTTTTGCGGCACCCTATAAATATAAAAAATTTTTGTTTACGTTTAGTACGAAACTTATTTTGCTTATTTTTGTCACAGTATTTCACAACAACTAAGATGAGAGGGAATGTTCCCAGGTGCCACGCGCCGTTTGAGTAGAGACCTATGCCATATTGTAGAGCTCAACAAGAATAGCTTTTGGTATGAAATGTTCGTCCCCATATGCAGCTGTTCAGCGGGTGCATCAATTTCAGGTATAGAAAATTCATGGTAAGATAAGGTACTAAATTCAAAATTATAGCACTATTTTATTTCTGGCTTAATCATACATCATTCGATAGGGAATTTAACGCTAATCAAAAGTATCTGGTCTTTAGTCTTCCCAGTTCATATTATCAGTGAAAAAAATTCAAAAAACTTGAACGATCTTTTTTTCCGAAAAACCATTAAAAATTCTCTACAAACTGAGCTAATCAGACAATCTAGGTCGGTCGGCCCGGTCATCAGGAACATGCAAAAAACGCGTTGGACGTACGGAAAACGGCTGTGGAACACTTGTTTAGTCGTTTTTCTGTCCTAAGGAGAAACTATATATTTTTAAAAGAATATCATTGGATAGCCCATGAAAGTCTCTACTAACTGAGCTAGTCAGGATATCTAGAAAGGTTGGGCCAGTCGTTTAATATATGGAAAAGAAGCGTTTGGGTGGTATATATGCAGTACAGTGTGTCATGATCACAAGAACTCTTTTTATTTTTCAGTAAAAGCTGAAACAAATCGGAATACTGTTTTGAATAGCCCGAAGATTTTTCTGTTGGATGAGGTGCATATCGCCGTTTTATAAGAAAACTTGATAACAGGGTTTCTGGAAGACCCGACCGCTGGAATACGAAGTCTTTGAATTTTGGTCAAAAAATTTTGCAAACAATATAGTCTGATAGAGCAAAGAATTTTGAGCAGAATACAATATCTCCCGGCTATCTATAACACCTGTTCACCCACTGTAGTCGATTTACGAATGGCTACAAACGGCGTGAAAATCACTAAAGTATTCCCGTGAAAAGAAATATGTGTGAAGAAAGTTATCGAAAAACGACTTGCCCGATTTTAATAAAATTCAGATATCTCAAGAACGAAAAAAAATTTTAAAAAAAGCGATTCATACTTTTTTTTCACGTTTCAAGGTAAATCGAATGGCGTATGAAACTTGGCTTCATGTTTTAATCAAAGAGCTGCGATAGGTTTGCAAGATGAGGATCTCGAAACCGAAGATTTATCGGTCCCGTTTCGCGCCGAGCAAATAATTTTGGTGTTGAACCGTCAAGTACAGTTTTCTAGATGCAGTTTTCAGAGCTAAATAAGAAAAACATAGTTTCACGGCTTCGAATGAGGCGGAACCAAGTTATTCAATTTTTAAAAAAAGTTAATGATTTTTCGGAAAAAAAGATCGTTCAAGTTTTTGAATTTTTTTCACTGATAATGTGAACTTGGAAGACTAAAGACCAGATACTTTTGATCAGCGTTAAATTCCCTATCGAATGATGTATGATTAAGCCAGAAATAAAATAGTGCTATAATTTTGAATTTAGAGTACCTTATCTTACCATGAATTTTCTATACCTGAAATTGATGCACCCGCTGAACAGCTGCATATGGGGACGAACATTTCATACCAAAAGCTATTCTCGTTGAGCTCTACAAAATGGCATAGGTCTCTACTCAAACGGCGCGTGGCACCTGGGAACGTTCTCTCGTAAGATGACCGCTACTATAACAACAACAGCAAAAACTGGTAGAATAACACGTAGACTTAGAATCATTGGTAGTTTGTTTTTATCTTTTTTCGTAGTCCTTGTGTACGTTGTAGTTTGTCCTGTAAGATCTGCATCTGTGGTACGTGTAGTTATCGTATCTGATTGACGACATTGAGCTGCTGTATTATTTGTAACATTACATATCCAATCAAAATAAGCTGTAACACGTATGTATATAGTCGGTTTATCTTTGCCTGCACAATCTGCATGACCATACGAAGTGATACCAGCTAAATACCATTGACCATTGCACAATTGCGCTAGCTGACCACCGCTATCATCCTAGGACAGAGCAGTGATAAAAAAAGTCAGCGGACAGAGATTCAGCGTATGTGAGTTGAGACCTTACAGTGAGGGATTTTATACATTATTCAAAAGTAAACTGTTTACAAGGAACCTACTATCGGATTCATCGGGAACTTCTGCATATCCCACCTTATTTTCATCGAATTTGGTTCAGCGCCGCAACAGCACCTAATTCTCTAATGGTTTGCAAACCCATTGGACTATTTACTCAATTTATTGGATCCGTACTAGACTGGATGGGACTTAAACTGTAACCATAGAGCATTCCCATTCGATCGTGACCTGAACTAGTGAGAGAAAAGATAAACATTCTAAGTCTATAGCCAGTATGAACAGATGTTTCATACCGAAGTAGTAAAGAATAATTCAGTTCGCTGCGAATGCAAATTTTCTGAGATCTCGGAAGTTATAAGGTAGAATTGGTGACAAAAATGCTGTGCTTGTAAGCTGTTTTCCGACAGATTTATATATTTCGCTACGTTTTAAGATTCTGTCCTTCTGGAAATTACAAATAGAAAACGAAACTGATTTCAATATTTACAAGTATTATTAGTAATAATCTTTTTCTAAGAAATTCTTCTTACTTTTATCAGAAGATAATAAATAAAGCAGTTATAAATCTTCCTATAAATATGTTACCTCGTCTTCACTCCCAGGATTATTTTATTATTATTCACCTTTTTGATGGAAGAAAAACTTTGTATGATTATGTACATACTTCATGAGCTATTGAATATAATTTATTATCTATAATAAATAGAATATCTTACTTCAGATTTATCTACTAGAGGATAGTCCACTAATGAGAGTGATCTTCTAATGTGTCCCGGGCTTTATAATACAACGGATTTGCTTAAGAAAAATCCGTTGTATTGTTTAATGTTTAATTTACACCTGGTGTCGGGCGTGCGTGTTGTTTTTCGTACTTGTATTTTCAGCAGCGATGTGCTCGTGAATTTGTGCGATTGTTGTTTTTTTGGAGATTTGGAAGGTTGTGTACTATTGCTGTGTTGCATATTGCTGCCGCCTCTGATTTACGGACGTTTTGGTGAGGTTGCGGCACCTATGCTTTTCGTCAAATGCAGAGACTGTCGCCAGTGATTTGCTCGTCGACGTTGATTAGAATAATTAGTGTTAACGCGTATTCCAGCCTTCTTCTCGCTTTTCTGGCTGACTCGTGTTTTGTAAAATTTGAGGACATATTTGTTCCTTAGATGCCGGAATTAGTTTTACATTCTTTCCGCGGGGAGCCAGAGAAACCTAGTCGTGAACTTTCAGAAGTAGTAATACGAATATTTTGCTCATTTTGGACTATTTTCATAAAATCTAAAGTTTTTCGCACGAAAATCACTTCCAGACATCTCAAAATCAGCTTTAAGTAGATAACTCAATTAGCTTTATTCAGCCATACCGAAGAAAACAAAAAATCATTTTCTATAAGTTGTGAATTTCGCGCACCCTACATGTCGAGTTCATTACGACCTTTCAGTCAAGGGTTAGTGAATCGAAGATGAGCGTTACTTGTAATTATAAATATTTTTACAGTGTTCACTTTGTTATTTTTCAGGAAAGAAAAACACATTTTAAACGCATTCTCTTTCTTCGATAATTATCTGCTCAATCCTACAGCTGTAAAGATAACACAAAGAAACAGGTAATATATTCCGGATTGGTTTTGCTCCCATGATAACCATATGAATAAAAAGAATAATAACGAAACAAAACCATCAAAGAAAAATCTGTCTGCTTAGTCAATAATATTTTAATTATAAATAGTTTTATAAAGTTCACTTTGTTAGTTTTTCCTCTCAGTTAGCCTGTTGGTCATGTATGTTGTGCATCGAGAATTTATTCTTTGTTAACCAAAAATAATGGCAGCAGTTTTTTTACGACGTTTGTAAATGTGTACAGCACCAATAATATAATTAATTCAATTATTGACTGTGTACAAGTTTAGGATTAATTTCTATTTTTTTTGAAAGAAAAATTAGTGACATAGCGTTAAACGATCTTTCTTGCTCGTTTCACATCGAAAATATATCCTTGAAGGGGAAAAAATTACAGTGAAGACTCTGACTCAAGAAAAACACCATCGGGACTTTTCCAAATCGTTTATGCTATAGGCAGGTGGTCAGTTTAGAGAGATAATTTTGTTGTGAAATAAAGTAAAAGTTCTAGAATGGGCTTCTACACTAGCCCTGAATCAAGCAAGGGTTTCTATTATTCTTTGTTCCCATTTAAATGTTGTTGTTGTATAGTCATTTAAATCTTCTGTTTTAATACAGTTCATCCGAAACTAAGTGAAATATTATAATTTTCAGCCAGCGTTGTAATAACCCTTTTCCATATCTATTGTAATTAAATAATCCAATTTTTTCTTTTAAAGTTAACTGGTATCCTGATGTCCTGGTTTTCACACGTACAATAGACAGTTCCAGTATATGACAGAGAGAGTGAAAAACATTGCACAGATGTTCACATCAGAGAGGTGCATTTCCAGTAAAAATGGCTCCGTTTGATTCAAGAGCGTTCATAATAAGGAGATGCTCACTTTAGAGAGGTGTTCATTAATAGAGGTTTTACTGTCTGTAATGTGGTGGAACTATATATTCGAAAGGTGGATGCCTAGGTTAAAAATTAGCAAAAAACTTATTTGGAAGAAGGCTTTCTTTGAAGTGCTAGAAGATTTGTTGACGTTAATTATCTGGAAAAACAAATTTTTTCGCCAAAGCTTAAATGAATTATAGATGTACTTTGTACAAATCAATAGCCTTACACAGCGTCCTTAATCACATCCATTTTGACCTTTTCTTGGATAACGTTTTAATCACAATGCTAAACGTTAGTTTTCTAGAAGATAGTCAAACTTTGATAGACTGATTTCGAGTGAGTTAGTCAACCCAATATGTCATAGAATACAGACTCCGTGAAGTCCTCCCATTCAGTTTGAAATTTTACACAACACTTTAGTACAACCAGTCCCAGAGTTTAGGAATATAAAAAAATGATAATTGTGATGGTCAGCGTTATGGTAAAAAAGTGAATGTATCAGTGATGATAAAAAAAAAATAGAATAATAAGGCTGTCTTCCATCCAGCTTCATTACTTTACACAGGACTGACACTGAGCAAGCATCTGGCCAAAAGACAAAATAAACGTACACAATTTCATTACTCTGGTCTATATTTTAGAAAACCGTTACTATAACCTACGTTGAAAAGCCACCATCTCAATATCAAATACTACGACGTCGGATCAGCTGAAATTATAATTTTTCTTTTATTAGGATTAATAATAATTCAGAAAAACATTCTTTGACATTACCAATATAAGGATTCGGTTACCTGCCTAATATTTTTTTACAAAAACGTGTTCGGTGATTTTCTTATAACATACTTTTGTCAAGCTCGTTTGTCCGTATTTTATTTGATGAACAGGTAACTCTAAATTTTTCTAGTAGAAAGTTTTTTAAATCATTCGAGGGTGACAAAGCTGCTGTAGCTGGTTGTACGCGCCGTGTCCGAAACTCTTTCAGTAATTGTGTATACAGACGTTGAAAGCAGATTAATAATACATTGAGTAATGCACAACTGGGTGTAAGAAATAGCCAGATAATACGATATGTGATTAATGGCCAATAGCCAACGATTACCTTCATAAGGATAAGTGCAGATGCCGGACCAAACAGACACATCAGTATTAGAAATGTTAAAAGAACTCGTTTTATGACATTTAAATCACGTTGATTTTGTCGTTGGCGTATTGTGGTTGGCGATGATCGTCTTATATAGAATATGATCTTGAAATAAACAAAGAAAATATAAACTAACGGTATTACGTAGACGGTCCATATTACTGACATCAACTCCCTTAGAGTCGTCATTGTATAATAACAATAAAAGTCATAGGGTAAATATATACCAGTGTACATTAGAGGAAATGGTGACATAAGAATAAATGACGCTATCCATTGAATTAGACAGAAAAAAAGATAGAGTGATTGTTTGCGGTGAAGAAATGGACCCTTGTAATAGACGACTCGAAATAGACGATAGGTGGTTTGAAGAGCATATGAATGATAAACACACGTTATACACGACAGGTAAATGTATCCTCGAATGTAACACAATGGACTATCAGCGGGGATGAATAACGGTAAATTGAAATCGCCACAGAGACTGGAAATGCTCGAGAGAACTAATGTCACACTTACGAAGAGGAGAGCAATGCTTGAATGCAATATTAACAGAACAGATATCGAGTCGACTGTTCTCAAACCACCGGCGATGTGAAAACGATTCGTGCGATAATAACGATAGATCACAGACAATAATATAATCAAAAGTGAAATGAGAATAGTCAAACAACTATTGAACAAAGTAACGAGGTCAATTATAATATTGATGACAGACATTTTAGGCCGTTTTTGTATCTGTTTCTTCTAGTATATATCAAATAGGAACTATAACTATATTTGTTATCTTATGTTTATCAATATCAACATTTTGAATGAGCTATTTTAAATATTCCTAGGCCCGATGAAAGTCTTGTCCGTATAATATATTTTTCTGAATGGTAAAAAGCTCTTACAGGATGACAGGCAATAATCTCCGGTAAAAAAGAACGGCGAGTTAACGTTCTCCAACCGGCCAGTAAATAAGCCGTTAACTTGACGTTTTAGTGTGGACGTTTCACGGTCGAAAAATCATCTGAAAACGTTCACAGTCAGATAGTGGTCAGTTAACGGTCACCGTTCACTGGCCGTTTCCTAACTATTTATTATTCATAGAGAAATTGACCATTAGCGGACCTTTTCTAGGTCGTTTTTCAATACTTTATGAGACCCGTGGGTAAAAAAGAACGCAATTTACGAAACTTTCACACGTTTTAGGTGTAAAAGATTTTTGCACGAGCTTTTACACGTAAAGTTTTACGAGCCTTACGTGCGAACTTCGTAAAAAGTTTACGCCAGCAAAAACATGATCAGTAAATGGTCAATAAACAGCTGGTAAATGATAAGAAAACGTTCACAAAACGGTCCGTCAACGGTGCAAAAACGATCTATTTAGGACCCTAAAACTTAAAAAAGACTTAAAGGAAATGGTGACATAAGAATAAATGAAGCTATCCAGTGAACTAGACAGAAAAAAAGATACAGTGATTGTTTCCGGTGAAGAAATGAAATATTTCCCGGTTTTGAATTTTTCACCCTCAGAAGATTCTTTCTGAACTTTAAAACACACATATTCTTGTTCAACTCGTCGAGCTCTATCTGATCATTTTAAACATCGCAAAAATAAAAAGCGCTGGACTTTTGAATTTCCTTAACCTTAGAATCGATACACCTTCCAGTGCGTAACAAATTGACGAGAAAATAGAATTCGAAAAGTACTTACTTTGTATAGAAAGTTCTATTATATTGTTAGAAATCGCTTCATCCGCAAAATGTCTGGTGAGATTTTCGGCTTTTGTCTTTTCGATATCTCGATAAATAATATTCCGATCAAGATCAAACTTTAATCATTTTTGACCCCATGGGATTTGATATTCGGTTAAAAATGAACCTGAAATATTGCATCATTGAGGAAAATTTGAAAAACTGTTCTTGTAAACTGTGTCTTGTGGACGCTTTACACGAATTCAGTAACGATAAAAGACTTGTACGACCAAGTGGAGGAAAACCCGGATTATTTTCAGCAATATACTCAAAATATTGATCAACAATTCTTGAAGGTATCATATTCCTGATTGTATTTGGAACGTAAAGTTCAACACCAGTCGAAAGACGTAGATGCTGTTCACCAAAAGGCAGATCAGTACAAATGTGTGGTGATAGGATAAAGTCTATAAAATGCTCCACCTGATAATCACTAAATCTTCCCAAAGTCGATGGAGCAGGTTCAACCTGACGTCCAGTTCCGTATTCAAAAGTATGACGTCTTGCTGCTGTGAAACGATATAGAGTTAATCCAGGTAAAAACGGTTGTATAGGTTTATAGCTTATTTTCGGTGCGACAATCGATAAAATCTCTCTGCGTGCGGTCCACTCCTCTGAGCTTTTATATGCCTCGATTATAGCGTCCATTACTCCGGTGAAGGAAATGGTGACATAAGAATAAATGAAGCTATCCAGTGAACTAGACAGAAAAAAAGATACAGTGATTGTTTCCGGTGAAGAAATGAAATATTTCCCGGTTTTGAATTTTTCACCCTCAGAAGATTCTTTCTGAACTTTAAAACACACATATTCTTGTTCAACTCGTCGAGCTCTATCTGATCATTTTAAACATCGCAAAAATAAAAAGCGCTGGACTTTTGAATTTCCTTAACCTTAGAATCGATACACCTTCCAGTGCGTCGAGGCCAAAAACGGACCCCACTTTTTAGTCGTCTTTTGTTTACCTGGGGGTATGAAGGACTCAGATCGTCACGAAAGCACATGTCTTCTTTTAAATTCAAATAGGATTATGGCTGAAATGGATACTGACGTTTGCTTATCGAATGTAAGAAATGTTATTAAACTTGATTTATTTGACTTTGATTGTATCTCAAAAAAAACCTGCGATTGTAGTTATTGTTGAGATCTAGCTTAATAGTTCTGTATCCATCAGCGACCTAGCGATAACATGATATCAGCTACCTTACAGAAAAGATAGAAAAGGCAGTATTAGTGGATATGGTGAATTATTGGCGTGTGTAAGACATGATATTATCTCAAACAGATTTGAACAACTTGAAACTAATTAGTTTGAAACAATGTATATGAATATAAAACTGAATAGAGGTAAAGCAGTGTTTCTTGCAGCATGTTATGGACCTAAGTGGATTAATGTGTGGCTTCACTGAGCATATCGATGATGTAATAAATGGTTACACCAGTTTTAATGAAATGCTTATACTAGGCGATTTTAATGGACATTGTAAGTTATGGTACCCAACTTCTACTAACCCTTTACCTGAGCAGGGCTAGAATTGTATGACTTCTGTGAGAGAGCTACTCTTTATCAATTAGTTAATTGTGCTACTAGAGAAAAGTCCGACTCCTGTCTTGATTTGGTTTTTGTTGATAGCCTATCATGTGTTAAGTCTATTGTTCTACCTCGACTGTGTTCAACTTGTGATCATAATATAATTCAAGTTACAATTAAATCTATAGATGAACCTGTACAAAAACGAGGGAACCATATATAATTATAAAAATACTGACTGGGACTATTATCGCCTTCAGCTTTCAGATGGTTTCGGTTAATAGAAGGATCCTCATTGGATGATGCTGTGACACTTGTACAAAACAAAATACTAGGGATTGCTAACACATAAGATAATTACTTTATCTTCGCGCGACAAAATATGGTTTACAGGAAAATTGCATAAACTGTTGTATGAAAAAGATAAAGCTTTTCGTCGTACCGTCGTACAAAGAATGAGTATAATTTACAATTATATAAAAAAATTGCGAAAACATTTGAACATGAATATACTGAAACAAAAAATCGTATTATCGTAACATATTATCTGATCTCAGTACTAAATCAAAAAGATGGTGGACTCTTGTTAAAAATGCCCTTGGAAGGGGAAAGCATTCATCTGTTCCTCCTGTACGTTGTATGACTACTAGTGAACTCAAAAGCTCAAAAGGCAAAGCGAATGCTTTAAATGACTATTTCGCTTCCGTATGCACCATGAGCACTGCAGATTTAAATGATACTCCTAAAACTCTTAGAAAACCAAAAACGATGATGTCTACTTTTCTAATATCCGAGCTTGATGTATTATATTTGTTAGAAAGAATAGATTGTAATAAAGCTCCGGCGCCAGGATTATTACCTAGAATATTGAAGGAAGCATGATCTATTGTCTGTAGTATTTTAACTCACTTGTTTAATGAATCCGTCAATCAATGCAGGCTATATTAATTCTATTTTTAAATCTGGTGACCAAAATGACCCTAAAAATTATAGATCTATTACTCTGTTGCCTATTTTATCTATGGTTCTTGGGCGTTTAATTTTTAAAAAATTGTATGGATATCTTGTAAGGAATAATCGCATTAATAAGAGCCAGTCTGGATTTAGACGCCATGATTCAGGTGTCAATCGGTTGCTGTCGATTGTACATAATATATATAAAGCATTTGATGAAAAGCAATCTGTTTTCGATGTTCTCCTTGACTTTGCCAAGGCTTTTGATACAGTTTGCCATAAGGGTCTAATGTCGAAACTTGAAACCAAGGGGATACCACCTCTCCTTCTTCAATGGTTTGAAAGCTGTCTTCTTGATCGAAAAATTGTTACAATTGTTGAAGGTTGCTTCTCATCAGAAAAAACTCTTAATAGAGGAGTATCTCAAGGTAGTGTGCTTGGTCTCTTATTATTCTTAATCTGTATTGATGATGTATGCGATAACCTTGTTTGTGACATGAAATTCTCACGCCTTCGATGATGCCTCGCTATATAGGAAAGGAACTGATCTACAACAAATGGCTTCTGATTTAAATAATGACCTAATCGTGATTGAAAAATGGTCTCAACATTGGAAATTACCTCTTAACATATCGAAGTGTGAAGCAATGCTGCTCACATTAAAACCTGTTCCTGCTGTTCTACCGCGTTTATACGTTGCTAATAATCCGATCAGGCAAAGCACTGTTCATAAACACTTAGGATTATTATTAACTATAAGGATGGATTGGACTACGTATATTGATAATATACTACTTAGGATCAATAAACTAATTGAGCTATTAAAATTGCACAGCCGTATGTTAAATCGACAAGCATTAGATGTGATTTATAAATCCTTTGTTTTACCGTGTTTTTCTTATGGATGTGTTGTTTTCAATAGTACTACTGAGTATAATTTAGAACGTTTTCAGAGCGCACAATATGGTGCAGCATTAGCTGTTACGGGTGCTGTGTATGGTAGTAGTTCCGAATCTATTCTATCTGATCTTGGCTGGTCTTGTATTCGTGATATATTTAAGCAACGCCGTATAGTTACATATCATACTATAATAGTTCGTCAAAAACCTGATTATTTATTTGGTCTAATACCTACTCCTACTCATCCAAACCTCAATTATAACCTTCGTAGTCAGTCAGCAACTGGACCTCAACTAAGTATATCCAAATGTCGTTTAGAATGGTTAAACATTCATTTTTTTATCGCGTTTCAAGCGGATGGTATAGTCTACCTACTAGTGTGTTACTTACGTTGAAATTACCCATATTCAAAAGTAAAATAAAAAACCTGTGATAGTTAAATATCCTGTTGCAGAACATCGTATGAATGAAATATATTTGTAGATTTCGAGTTGGCTTTAGTCAATTAAAGGACGATTTGTATAAACGAAAATTAATATCTGATCTTTTCTGTTCATGTAGGACTGTTGAAACTAGTGAACATTTTTTCTTTCATTGATCTCTGTATAATATTGAATGCTCCATATTGTTTGATGAGGTATTGAAGCTATTGTATATGGCCTCAACTATTACAATGCCCATGCTGATGTTGCGCGAACTGAAACTATCGAACGATGAATCCGATGGCACTTATTATTCTGTGTTACGGTATATAGATGCGACAAAGCGTTTTGTAAGTTCGATCTGAGTAACCTTCAGTTCTAATATATCCAACTGCCTCTTTGACCTGTTAGCAACTTCCATTGTCTTTATGTTATTTTTTTTGTTTTTTTATCATTATGTTTCATTCTGAATCTTTGTTTTGGGAAGGAATTGTACAAAGAATGCTTATGCAACATCAACCCCGAAACACACAGAGCACTATCGTCACCGTTTCATTCCCTGTCCAATTTTTATTTTTTATTTTTCTGTTTCATCTCCTCACCCTTTTTCTTTACTACTAATCCTTTACTTGTTTTCTCTTTCTGTATTCTTGTTTATTGTTGGTAACATTGCTTGTCTATAGTGCTATAGTGAGTCCCCGACTCTTTGCATTTACTTTTCTCTTTCTTTCAATAAACGTTTACAACTATAAAAGTTCAAGATTTATCGTCAACTCATGATACTGTGCGGGAACAGTAGCTCTTCTGCAGGAAACGTAACGAGGAAAGTATCTGAACTGTCTTGATTTCAGCCCACGAAATTCTGATCAAAATGAGACATATCCCAGCTCTACATGACTTTTCTTTGCAAAATTACCGAATGTACAAGAAAAGCCATAAATATTCATTATCAGCTCAAAGCTATAGAAATAAGAAATTAAGAGAACCTCCACGAGCCTATCGGTCAATCGCGAAAGATAGATTTTGTTAAAAGTTACATCATTCGATTCTGCAAGAAAACTGGGGTGACAGGCTCGTGAAGATTCACCTTAATTTCTTATTTCTATAGCTTTGAGCTGACAATGAACATTTATGGCTTTTCTTGTACGTTCGGTAATTTTGCAAAGAAAGATCATGTAGAGCTGGGATATGTCTCATTTTGATCAGAATTTCGTGGGCTGAAATCCTGACTTGATAAGAGAAAGTTTTGGAGATTTTTGTGGTTTCTGGAAATCTGGTTTTCCAGAAGTCCAGTACGCAGAAGACACATTAGCAAATGGCATGTTGATATTTTGAATCAGCATAGGCGATTACCTATGGTTCACTAGACATTAAGCAAAAAACGAGCGGACAGTTCGGATACTTTCGTCGTAAGTAAAGAAAGACTGAACACGATATATAAGATGAGAAAGGTGGACAGCGGAATGATGAAAGATGAGATGAATTGAGGCAATCGTGAAAATATTTCCGCAGGATTTTTCTACATCGGGAAAAGAGAAGAATTCTGCCGAAGTTTTTCGTTCGTGAATGGTTTAAGCTCGGTGGGAATTTTTCCAATGAAAAGAACATAGTTCTTCAAATTTTCTTTGCGTACGTGTGAAAACCAGGACATCAGGATACCAGTTAACTTTAAAAGAAAAAATTGGATCATTTAATTACAATTGGAACAGCGTCAGCGTCTCTGTGAATTGGCCTCAGTGACTGTAAGTGTCGGCTTGATTATCAAATCAAGCTCGCACATCTTTCCAGGTATTCTCCTCGATGACGAAAATGTCACTGAACCTCTGACAATCATTGTATTGCTTTCTATCTAGTTGACTTTCTCATTCAACCGATAATTCAAGAATAAACAATGAGTCAGGCAATGTGTCATGAAAGATGGTTGTTTCCTTTTAGCTCCAAATAAGAAAAATGTTGAAAAGGTCAAAGATGGCTGCTTTTAACTGATAGACGGGTATGTGGATGTCCATAGTTTCTCACTGAAATAGTACAAACCAATGAGAAAAGAGGATAATTCGGACATCTCCGTTCTGTAAAAGAACACACACACACAGACCAGTTTGTAAGACCCTAGACTAAAGTCAAGGGAATAACTATGGTGCATTTGCATTTTGGACCTACGGGTGGAGAATGTATGGATACGGACGAAATACGGGTCTTACGAGGGAACCGCCTGAGGTGCTAAAAATCTTTTTGAGTGGGACTATTTTTAAAATTTAGACCCACATGGACTATGAAGAATCCCAACTTGGTTCGTGCGCAATCAGCTTTGTTGCTGAGATATCGAATTTTCCCCACAGGACCTGGATTTCAAGCAAAATTGGAGTTTTGAATTTCATGTTGTAACTTATCACCTATTGTAGCCCAGACCAATTGT